CCAATCTCAGCCTCCTGCGTAGCAAGGATTACAAGCGTGAGCCACAGGTGCTCAGCTCCATGATACTTTTTTTTTTTTTGGTTCCTGTCGTGGAGCCTGAACTCTGGGCCTGGGCGCTATCCCTCAGCTCTTCAGCTCAAGGCTAGCGCTCTACCACTTGAGCCACAGCACCACTTCCGGCTTTTTTCTTTTTGCTTATGTGGTGCTGAGGAATCAAACCCAGGGCCTCATGCATGCGAGGCAAGCGCTCTACCACTGAGCCACCTTCCCAGCCCAGCCCCATGATACTTTTATTTCCAATTAATTACCAAAAATGCTGGAAGTGGAGCTGTGGTTCAAAGTGGTAGAGTACTAACCTTGAGCAAAAAGTTCAAGGACAGTGCCCAGGCCCTGAGCTAAAGCTCCAGGACTGGTACAAAAAAGTGCTGGTAGGGCTGGGAAGGTGGCTCAGTGGTAGAGCGCTTGCCTCGCATGCATGAGGCCCTGGGTTCGATTCCTCAGCACCACATAAGCAAAAAGAAAAAAGCTGGAAGTGGTGCTGTGGCTCAAGTGGTAGAGCTCTAGCCTTGAGCTGAAGAGCTGAAGGACAGTGCCCAGGCCCAGAGTTCAGGCCCCACAACTGGACCCAAAAAAAAAAAAAGTGCTGGTAGCTCCCACCTGTAATCCTACCTTCTGAGAAGGCTGAGGATCCCAGTTCAAAGCCAGCCTGGGCAGGAAAGTCCATGAGACTCTCATCTTCCAATTAACTACCAAAAAGCCAGAAGCAGAAAAAACTTGAGCAAGAAAACCAGGGACGACATCCAACAATGTAAAGTCATTTTTTCCGTGAATAGTATAAAAAGTTACATGTTGTCACATTCAATAAAGTTTTTCTTTGTTAAAAGTCTCCTGAATTTTCTATGTAAAATTTTTTTTCTTTTTTTTTTTTGCCATTACTTGAGCTCAAACTCAGGGCCTGAGCTCTAACCCTTGAGTCACCAAGTGACTCTGTGGCAGTTGATTGGAGATAACAGTCCCACAGACTTTCTTTCCTACTGGGCCTGATTTCATACTGCAATCCAGAAAACTGGAAATGGAGCTGTGGCTCAAGTGTAGAGAGCTCGTCTTGGGCAGAAAACCTCAGGTACAGTACCCAGGCCCTAAGTTCAAGCCCCACAACTGACAAGAAAAAAAAGAAAAGAAAAAAAATTAATTCTCCAGCTAACTCCCGATACATAACACAGACAGCCCTCGTTCTCACTTACTTGTGTCTCCCCTTTATCCCAGGTAATTTTTATAAATTCTTTTGTACTGTTTGTATAAATTATCAACTTCATTCCACTCTGAGCTGAGCTTCATAATATAGCAACTATATTTGCTTTCCAGTACACCTTCTTGTCTAAGTGTAGTTGCTTTTTTCACTGAGTTCATTTTCCATATCTTGTATTTTATAACCTTAATTTCTTGTAGAGCTGTAGAAGGTTTGTGTTTGGAGTGTTACAGTTGAGCATACTGAGTTCAGTATCTGTTATTTTTCTCTCTGACACCTTTTAAGACTTTCTCCTTGGGCTGGGAAGATGGCTCAGTGGTAGAGTGGATGCCTTGCAAGCATGAGGCCCTGGGTTCGATTCCTCAGTACCACATAAACAGAAAAAGCCGGAAGTGGCACTGTGGCTCCAGTGGTAGAGCGCTAGCCTTGAGCTGAAGAGCTGAGGGACAGTGCCCAGGCCCAGAGTTCAGGCCTCATGACTGGCAAAAAAAAAAACAAAAACAAAAAAAAAAAGACTTTCTCCTTATCTACAGAGGTCACAGATTTTATGACTTCACACTTTCCTAAAGGTGGTTTTTTTTTTACACATTATCCTGGACAAAAAGAAAGAAAACAATGAATATGTGTAACTTACCATTTACTTGACCTTTCAGGGCAGGTTTCAGTTTACTCATCTGAGTCATGGGAATAAACGGCTACCTCACAGGATTGTTGTTCAGAAGGCAGAAAACCCATTTATGACTTCACTCATACATAAAGAATTATTATTCCATTCTTTGTAATAATAATAAATTATAACAATGTTTGATGAAGTATATCTGAAATGAACTTAGGTGTACCCATACTGAAAGAGGTCAAAGGTAGCCTTTTACCTCATCTCCTTGAGATATAAAATGTTAACATCCATTTCAGGGAAACTTGTTAAGATACTTCAGCTTGATATCAAGATACTTTTTAATAACATTAGTCAAGATCCATGCTTTTATTTTAAAAAAAAAGATTCATGCTTTTTATGAGGTCTGAAATGAGTTCCAGATGACCATGCAAAAGAAATCTTATTTCCAGTGAAATTGTTACTCATTTAATATTTTGAGTTTAAAACTATTTTAATCAGTTAAATTATGTTTCTGCTTACTGTAAATTCAGTAACCTTGAAAAACAATTAATGATAGTTCATACTGGTAGTAGAGCTGCTTCTTCCATTTTACCAACAGATATTTATTAAATTCTTACAGTGTGACCTGTGGTCTCTGAGATTTCTGCCTATAGGCAAACAAATCAGTAAGCAAACAAGCAGCAACAACAAAAAGTGTGTGTGAGGCGTCAGGAGGGGCTTTGTTTGCAACATGAAATGATGGGACAGGGAAGTGAAGCAGATCTAAAGTGTGGTTATGCCAGGTGCAATGGCTCACGCTGTAGTCCCGGACACTCAAGAGGGAAATCTGAGGATTGTGGCTCAAAGGGAGCCCCGGCAGTAAAGTCCATGAGACCACCAAAAAGCCAAAAGTAGAACTGTGGGTCAAGTGATAGTGCCAGTGTTGAGCAAAAAAGCCAAGGCCCAGAGATTAAGCTCCAGTACCAATACCAAAAACAATTTAGAAAATGTGGTTGTATCGTCGTTTGTAAGCTTTGCTGTTTTTTTAAGCCTTGACTCCAAGTGTAATCTATTTCCAGAAGCAACTAGTTTGTACAGAGATGAATCAAAATACATGTGTCAAGCACGTTCCCCCCTCCCCCCCCACCCCACCCCACCCCCGTGTAGAGGACCCCACTAGATGAATCACCTAATGATAATCGTGTCTGGCTGGATGGAAAGAGACATATACAACTAAGATTGCAAACTTCTCAACCCTGGCCTGCCCAGAGGAATTTAGGCTAGTGGTGGTTCTTTAAAAGATGCCTAATTCTAAGCAGATACCAGAGGCTCACGCCTGTAATCCTAACTACTCAGGAAGCTGAGACCTGAGGATCACCATTCAAAGCCAGCCCGGGCAGGAAAGTCAGTGAGTCTCCAACTAATGACCAGAAAACTTTAAGTGGAGCTGCGACTCAAAATGGTAGAGTGTTAAGCCAGGCACTGGTGGCTCACACTTGTAATCCTAGCTACTCAGGAGGCTGAGATCTGAGGATCACCACTCAAAGGCAGCCCAGGCAGGAACGTCCACGAGACTCTTATCTCCAATAAACCACTCAGAAAACTGAAAGTGGTGCTGTGGCTCAAGTGGTAGAGCACTAACCTTGAGCTGAAGAGCTCAGGGACAGCGCCTAGGAGCAGAGTTCAAGAGCCATGACCTACAAAAAAAAAAAAGGTAGAGCACTAGCCTTAAGCAAAAAACCTCAGGGACAGCACTCATGCCTTGAGTTTAAGCCCCACAACAACAATAAGATATTTTTAAAAGCTATCCAACTCTGGACAGTTGTGCTCTCTTGGAATCATTTAATAACAAAGTCAAGTAGGAAGTCCTGAGAGTTCTAAATGTGAGTGTGTCTGTTAAAGGGGGAACAAAAAGCTCATTTAGATTTCTATGAAAAATCTTGATTTTTGCAGAGATGAAAGCAGTGCCTTCTAGCAGCCCAGAGACTTTGCTTTGAGAAGTCAGCATATCCCCAGTTAGTCTAAATCCCAGGCAAGGATGCTGTTTCCTACTGTAGGCTCTCCAGTACCCTGGCACCGGGTACTGGGTGATCTCAGAGCTGTGTGAATTGAAATCCAAAAGACAACACAAGGTAGAACTCTAGGTACTAAGTGATAAACGAAAGGTAAAGCATCAAACCAAGGGCAGATGGCATCCCTCCATCTCACCTACTGTACCCCCTCAGTACCTGTACAGTATATAACTGTATAGAACAACAGAGCAAGCTCCTAAATGACCTTTCAGAAACCTTGAGTATTGCACATTAAATTCATAAAAAATCAAAATCATTCTTATGTGCATATGCATGCGTGCATGCTAGTCCTGTGGCTAGCGACTCAGGGCCTAGGTGTTGTCCCTGAGTTTTTATACTCCAAGCTAGCACTCTACCACTTAAGCCACAGTTCCACTTACAGCTTTTTTTGGTAATTTATTAGCAATCAGTCCCACAGACTGCACTACCCAGGCTGGCTTCCAACTGCACTTCTCAGATATCAGCCTCTTGAGTAGTTAAGATTACAGGTATGAGCCACCCATGCCCAGCTTTTTTATTTTATTCTTCATTATCTTTAAATAGTTACACAAAGGTATCTCAGCTCAACATGTTAGTTCTGAGTACAATGCAGGTTGATCGGTGTCTCCCCTGCCAGTCTCCCCAGCCTCTCCAGCCTCATTCATCTCCTCAAGTTCCCTGATTCCATTTTCACATGTGCACATTGAATATCATTACTGCATTCACCCACCCTTCCTCTCTCCATTGTCTGCCCCTTCCCCTGAAACTTCACCCCTCTTAGACAAGATCTGTTTCAACTTCCTGAAACAGATTTTCTAAGCTACCTATAATTATTTAAAGGACTTACAGATTTTCTAAGCTACCTATAATTATTTAAAGGACTTAGACCATGGATATCCACGAACCGATCCTTTCCATATAATTCTGTGCCCTGTACTTAGGTGGCTGTCTTCCCTTTCATGGTAAGGCCAGAGACCAACTCTCCACTTCCACACTCATTACACCATCTAACACGACATCCCCCCTACTCCCCATCACAGAGTAAGTGCTGGGTTCCTACAAATGGATAACATGGTGGTGATGGCAGATGTCCTTTGTCCTGTAGCAGGCCTGGCCGAGTGGGACCCAGCAGATCCTGCTTCCCCCAGCATGGCAGCAGCTGACGGGAGTGGCCGCCCACACGTCGGTGCAGCATGCGACTGTGATTCCTGAGACCATGGCAGGCACTCAGCAGTTAGCTGACTGGCGGTAAGCTGGAAACGTCTAGAATGAGTTGCACGTGTCTGGGTGGGAGGCGTGTCAACCATTGTTGCAGAGAATATGGGTATTATATGACTACGCTATAATGAGTGGTTATTTTTATACCATGTGCCAGAATACAAAAAAAAGTAGGCTTTATTAATTTATGATAAGCTATCATCTTCCAGCTATCATTTTCTCCGTCATATTGTTTAATAACTAGTGTGATTCATCAGACCTGTCTCCAGATGATTTGAGGGTTTTCTCAGAATTAAATTGCACTCTCAGGAAACAAAAATTTGTCAGTTAAAGTATGTAAAAGAGAGTCCCCAAATCCCTCAGCAGTTCTGGAAAGCGTTAGAGACATTTTGAGACACAGGCACCCTGGAGTCTGACCTCCCCAGGGAAGGGGGAGCTCTGGTAGGTGTTCTGCACGCGCCTCTCAGAATAGTCACATCATGAAGATCAGGGTCCACCTTCCTCAGACACCAAGGCATCTAGCTAACTGAATCTCCAAGATGTTTCCAGAACATTCTCACCCAACTCCCTGATATCCGCCCAGTCTCTATGTTCAGTCATTTTCATGACCGCTTGTTGCCTTTCTCTGGCCCTTCCTCCAGTACCACTTTCCCCAGCCTGACGTCATCCCCAATTCTTATGGCCCTTTGAGCTGTTTCTTTTTCAGCACAAGCATCAGGGCAGGCCACTCCCCTTCATGTCTGACAGTTTCCATACCACCCCAGTGCCTCCACATGACTGTTTTTTTTTTTTTTTCTGAAAAAAGATCTCCTGTGCCCAAGTGTGGTAGGAATTCCGTAATCCCAGCAGTCAGATGCTAAAGCAGGAGAATCAAAAATTCAAGAGCCAGCCGGGCGCTGGTGGTTCACACCTGTAATCCTAGCTACTCAGGAGGCTGAGATCTGAGGATCTCGGTTCAAAGCCAGCCCAGGCAGGAAACTCTGTGAAACTCTTATCTCCAGTACACCACCAGAAGACTGGAAGTGGTGCTGTGGCTCAAGTGGTAGAGTGCTATCCTTGAGCTGAAGAGCTGAGGGACAGCGTTCAGGCCCAGAGTTCAAGCCCCACGACCAACCAAAAAAAAAAAAATTCAAAGGCAAGCTGAACTATAGAGCAGGACTCTGGCTACGAGATAAATAAATAGAAAATGAACTATACAACTTGTGGGTGGAGATGGAAGGGAAAAACTGGGAGAGAGCAAAGGAAGGGGTGACACTGTCCAAAAAGAAATGTACTCTTTACCTGACTTATGTAACTATAACCCCTTCTGTACATCACCTTTATAATAACAATTGAAACAAATAGGTCAGGCGAAGTGGCATATGCCTATAATTTTAGCTACTCAGGAGACAGGTTCTGAAGGATTGTAGTTCAAGTCCATGGGGATAGAGGCATGGTTCAGATGGTAGAGCACGAGCCTTTGAGCAAAAAGTGTCAGACATGGTGTGGAGGGAACAGTTTGAGGCCAGTCCTATCTCAACCAATAAAAAGCTTGGTGTTGTGGTATGCATTTATCATCTCAGATACACAGGAGTATAAATAGAGTACAAAAAGATCACCATCCAGACCAACCTGGGCAAAAATGCAAGACGCTATTCAAAAAAGTAAAAAGGGCTGGGGATGTGACTAAGGTGGTAGAGCACCATCTAGTGAGTACAAAATGCTTAAGCTCAGTACCACCAAAGATGATGGAAGAGCGGGG